CACATGAATCAAGGCTGTTGAATCTCATTTTTTTAAATCTAAGCTACTTCCCTCTTCAGGTCTTAAGATGGAATATGATCAGGCGACACAAATCTGGAAGCAAAGTATAAAGAATAGGGAGCAGCAAGCAGATCTAGGAAAGTCTTCTTGTACCAGTACACTTCAAATATATTGGCAATGCTGCCAACTAGCAACACCCAGCTTTCTCTCTTGCCCAATGTCATGCTTTGCTCTCTGCAGTATTGTATGGTAAATATAAAATAGTATCATTGCCTGAAAGGGTCTGTCTTGTAATTCCAGAGAGATGGAAACTACAGAACATGTTATTCTTCAGTGCTGCTTTTATGGAAACATTCCAATCAGATTCATCCTACCTTTGATTAGTTGATACCCTGGATTGCCCAGACGTAGCCCATGCCCAGGTGCTGCTTATGAACTGCCTTTTTTTTTTTTTACAGTGCATGTAGTTAGGTTTTGTGCAGTGGCCAAAAGACCTATCAGGCCTGCATAAGTCAATTTTTCACAGTGTTTTCTATTTAACTGTAATTCAATTAAATTTTAGATATCACTTTGTTGTAATTTTAGATGTTACCACATTACATATGATTATGGATCTGATTATTTTGTTTACTGCCTATTTGGTTTATTATTTGGGGTTTACTTTGATGTATCAACCTTATTATAATGGTTTATATTATGTATGAATAAAAAAAGTGTGACTTATTCAACAAACCATGGTTTAAAACTGATTTGGTCCTAGCTTTTTTGAATTAGCATTATACCACTTTTTTGAGTTTGGGTGAAATGGAAAATAATAGTTTATTCTGCATTCAGAATTATATTTTACATTTTCTCCATTCCTCAATAATTTGATTGAAGAAATGTGTATGCAATTATTTTGAATAGTTTTGAACATATTCTCATTGTTTTCTTTAGATGATTCAAACTCAGTCCTCTTTTACAGGTGAGGATCAACTTTCGCACAAATGAACAGATCCTTCGTTCCCAATTGCACTCACAACTTGATGATTTAGAGTGGCATCTTCTTGAAATTCGTCACAAAAGAGAAAATATTACTCTAGTGATTGATAAAAATTATCAGACTAGTGCAATAGTTCCAGATTTCCTAGTATTTGAACTAAACATTGAATATGGTCTCTATATTGGTGGGAGAGGTACCCTTGATACCCACTATCTTAACAGTACACCAATTAATTTCCGAGGATGTATTAATGATGTGATATTTAACAACCATGATATCTTAACCTCCCTGAAATCATCTGCAAGAAATAAAAACATTCACGAAGTATCACTGAGCTGTAGCAATGAATTTTTTGCAGGGGAAGAAGAACCCGTAAGTTTTTTTAGTTCCAAATCTTATGTTTCATTTCCTCTCTGGAATGTCCAAGCAGGAGGCATCTTGCAGTATTCAGTGCAAACTACAGCTCAGAGGGGATTGCTGATCTACAGTTCTGGTCCCGTAGGGGACTTTATTGCAATGGAAATTGAAAATGGTCTCATTAAAGCTCACATTAGAATGGGTAAAAATAGACTTGAACTTTCTTCTCTTAGCCCTGTCAATGATAACCAGTGGCATGTTATCAGACTAAAATTTTCCATAAAATATGTTGAACTCACTCTAGAAAAGAAAATTGTGAAAACTCCATTGCCTTCTCATAGTAGGCTTCCTGTTCTTAAAGGGGCCTTGCATGTCGGTGGAATAAATGATGCACTCCGTGCAGAAGTGCTAAAATATGGGTTAGCTTCGGTTTCTGGAAGATATGGAGAAGGTGGATCTTTCAGAGGCTGCTTGAAAGATTTGATAATTGGTTCTCAAAAATATTCCTTGAAAAATGTTCTAGTGACTAAGGATATTTCAGTAGGATGCACAACACCCAATTTTGCACCAAAAAAGCAGGCTGTGGGAATAGCCCCTTCCATTTCTGTTGCTGGTACTGTCGCTCCTAAACTGCTTAGGAAAGAAAGTCATGAGCATTTTTTGTTTGTCGATGACTTGATTGTGCCAGAAGGTGGGCAAGCATTTCTTGGATCAAAGCACATTAAAGTCAATGTGGACTTCAAAACGCTGGGGATTCGTCAGTCGCAAATTCTTTTTAGAATTATACATCCCCCTTCTTATGGACAGTTGAGGTTGAATGTTGTGTCAGTGCCAGAAGATTTCACATTTAGTATGCTAGATTTGTGGCAAGGAAAAGTTTTATACATTCACGATGGTTCTGAAGAAAGCTATGACTATTTCACTTTTTCTGTTTCTACAAGCAGTAAAAGGGAGATGCCTCTGTATCTCCAAGGAAATGATGAATATATGTTTACTATTACAGTAAAACCAATAAATGATGCTCCAGAACTCATATTTCCAAATGGAAACTTATTTCTTCTCTTAGAACATTCCAAGAAATGCCTGAGCATAGATTCAGTAAATATTGTGGACAACGACACAAGTGCTGCAGATCTTAGTATTACAGTCCTGGGAAATTCAATTGCTGATGCAGGTTTTCTAGAAAATTCCAAGACTCCTGGAGAAACAATTAATACCTTTTCCTATGAGGATTTACAACATGGTAATGTTTTTTTTGTCCATTCTGGAGTTCAGAATTCCAGGATTGTTCTGCGAGCAAGTGATGGGGAGAAAGTTAGCAACACAGCTGTGTTGCGTGTCATGGCTGTACCCCTGGACTATAAATTAGTCAACAACACAGGAGTTGATGTAGTGCAAGGCACCCCAGTGTTAATAACACTCAGCCATTTGGCCACAGAAATAAATGCTTTTCAACAAGAGCTGGACATAAGATATGAAATCACAGAAGAACCCTTTAGTGGAGAAATTCAGAGGAGACATACTGGTCGAGAATGGAAAAAAACAAATTATTTTTCTCAACGATCCATTGAACGTGGTCGTGTGAGGTATCATTCTACTTTCAAAGCAATTCAGCAAGATAATGTCTACGAACATTTTAAGTTTAAAATTATCATTGGTAGCAATATAAGCCAAGAGTTTTTGTTTGCTGTTAGAGTAAAATGGCTGACTTATAATTTTCTGAAATATGCACCATTAGTTATTGATAAATTAGATAGAGAGTGTCTTAATTCTAATAACCTTCTTGTGGTCATACCACAGATGGACCTGTCAGAAAATGAAATCCTTTACAAGCTGCAATCCTTACCTGAGAAAGGAATAATTCTGCTTGATAATGTCCCACTGCAAATAAATTCCAGCTTCAGCCAACAGAATATTTCTGATTGTAAAGTAGAGTATCAATTATACAGAGAGACCCATGAAGAAAGTCTGGACACATTTCAATTCTTCATTAGTACCCAGTATGTGGTATCAAATATCTATGATTTCAAAATTAAGATCAAAACAAACCCACAAAACATTATTTTGATAAACAATGGTCTTACTGTTACTGAAGGTGAAGGATCACTGATAACAAAATCAGAATTGTTTGTGCAGACCTCCATTAATACGACTTTTGAGTATAAGGTTACAAAAAGTCCTCAACATGGGAAATTAATGCTTATTAATTTTTCTGATTCCCCAGAAAGTAACAACAACCTTAGCAGTTTCACTAATCAGGATATCTATGGAGAACATCTTATGTATATACATGATGACTCAGAGACCCAATGCGATGAAATTCATATCACTGCAACTGCCATAAAATTTGGAGAAGAGGATTTAGAAACAGAGTTCCCATTATCAGTAGGGATCAAATTTAATATTTCTATCCACCTGAAAAATGATGAAAAACCAGTACGAGTAGTGGATAAGGTCTTCCACGTTGTTAAGAATGGAAGGAAACTCTTGACTTTGGATGATCTCTGCTATCATGATCCTGATACAGATTTTGATGATAACCAGTTGTTATACACCAGGCGTGGCATTCCTAATGGAGACTTGGTTCTTGTCAATGAAACATCTTATAGACTGTATCAGTTCAAGCAAGAGGACCTTATACACAAGCAAGTCCTCTTTGTTCATCGAGGTGCAACCTACGGTCGTTTTGTGCTATTTGTAACTGATGGAAAACATTATACATCATCTTTGCTAGAAGTAAGTGCTTCTGAACCATATGTATTTCTAGCAAACAATACAGGATTATTGATCCAAAAAGGAAAAGAAGCAGTGATTACCACCACTAACTTGAGCGCTACCACAAATCAAGATATCAGAAGTGATCATGAAATTAGATTTGAGATATTTTCCTCCCCAAAGTACGGACAAATTGTGGTTAATAATTTAGCAGTGAGTACTTTTACTCAGCATGATCTCAAAATGGGACATTTGACTTATAGACATGATGATAGCAATAATTTGATTGACACTTTGAACTTCACTGTTTATGCTAAAAGCCTCCACTTGGATGCTGATATGAATATTCATATATATTTGGAAAGTCATCAGCGTCCACCAGTGGTCCTACATAACCATAAACTTTTGGTTGAAGAAGGAAAACGAGTTCAAATCAATAATGGAAAATTGATGGTAAGATGAAGTTATCTAGTAAATTATAGCAAATGTTTTAAATATTTGTTTGTATTGTGTTTCCTTGATTTCCGTAAAAGATTTCAGTAAATTTCTTCATTTGAGCCTTCCAACTCTGAACACTGGAAGAGCACCTGTGTATTTTGTTTTCCTTAACTTTCTTAATGAATATGTTTTACTTTACAGAAATTATATTATATTGCTTAATGTACTGTTTATTATTTGCTTTATTGCTGATTTTATTGAAAGCTATTTTTGAGATTCTTCAATCTAAGGAGCAGTGTATATAAATATATTTATATGTTTGATTAATAATATTCAAGTCATAAGATGTGTCTGTTTATGATCAAACAATCAGGCAGAAAACAATGCTTTAATCAAGCAACTTCCAAAGCAGCAAACTCCATACTCTCTTGCACTGATCACATTACCTAGTTGGATAATGAAATATTTGTAAGCAAACTCAGAAAGCACCAAGAACTATTTTAAACTTTTTAAAAAAAAACATTTAATAGTAAAGGTTTTGAGCATGTCCCATCTCAAAATGACAAACCATGCTGCCAATTTTTGGTAGTGGTGTCACAGAACACAAGGTGGGACATTCAAAAAAGACACATAGATAGACAGACAGACAGATTGAAAGAGTTTGTAGGCCATCTATACCTGTAGGGACATAGCTAAACCATCAGAATGTTCAATGCTGTTGTTATTAAAGATTAAATATAAAAAGCTGTATTTAGAAAAAGCGCTTATCTTTATGTTCTTAATGACTTGGTCTTATATTTTTTTTAAGGCTGTGCATGAAAACAGCTTGCCATCAGAGATAGAATTCAAAGTAAGATCACCTCCAGTCTATGGCTATCTTTGGATGTTTATATCAAAAGAAAACTACCTTGGAGCAGAAGAAAATCCAGTTTTGTCTTTTACTCAACAAGACATCAATGATGGCATTATCCAGTACATACAGACCATCTCCAACCAACTCCAAGACCACTTTTCCTTGGATGTGACTAATGGTATCCAGACAGTCAGTGGAATAGAAGTGACTGTGGACATCATTCCAAAGCTGATCCCACTAGAAGTACACAACTTCACAGTTGCTGAAGGGGGTTCAAAAGTCCTTGAAGAAGATATTCTAAAAATTTCTAATAGCCACTTTGCAGAAGTTAATTGTGACTTCAGTCTAATTGAGCCACCAATATATGGACGAATTGTAAACTCTCATTTTTGGGGAATGACATTGACTAAATTTAACAGAAAACAGGTAAAGTTATTCAAAATACATTTCTGGCTTTAATTTTATAATTAGGTTTTGAAATCATATATCAAAGAACAATTAAAACTCCTTGAACTTTTCTATTTTTGGACTTTAGACTTTAAGAACCTTCCTATTTTTAGAAAACTGTACAGTCCNCACACACACACACACACACACACACGGAGGGAGGGAGGGAGGGAGGGAGGGGGAGAGAGACACCATTTATTTTTATGCATGCTTTTCTTCTATCATATCTCACATTCAGCATCCAACCTTCAGCCACTTATTGTTGCAAAACTTTCCATAACTGAAGCCTATTTATGTTATCACATAGAATCATAAGGCTGGAAACCTCCTTCTCCAGTGAGGTTTTCAAGAATATTTGAACAATACTTCTAGGCCAGTGATGGTGAACCTTTTTGTGCCAGAAATGGAGTGCGTGCGCGGTCATCTGGGCCACAACCCGGAAGAGGAGCTGCCCAGGGCACACGTGCGCAGGCCAGCTAGTCTTCCAGTTACTGATGCGCATGTATGCTTGATGATCAGCTGGACAGCATGCATGCTCATGCAAGAAAACAGAAGACCAGCTCTTCCAGTTTCCTACACTGCCGCACACATGAAGGCAAGCTCAGCGTCGCACACATGTGCATGCCAAAACCCCGGAAGAGGAGATGCCACGCATCCCAGGCAACATGGGTCCACGCGCCATAGGTTCGCCATCACGGTTCTAGGCTGCATCTCTCTTTAACAAGCTTCCACACATTACTTCTTGTCCTGTCCTCTGGTGCCTGGGAGAATAAGTCAGCCCTCTCTTCTTTGTGACAGCCGCTCAAGTACTGGAAGACAGCTAGCATGTCCCCTGAATACTTCTCTTTGATAGGCTAGAAATACCTCCCTCCCTCCACCATTCATCATGCGTTTCAGCCTCCAAACACGCTTTCCAGGATCTCACCATCCTTTTTTCCTATTGTGGCGACCAGAACTGGAAGCAATATTTCAAGTTTGGTCTCACCGGTGTGGTGTAAAGCATTGCTACCACTCCTTGTTGTCTTGACGCTATCCCTCTGTTGACCCAGTCTAAGACTGCATTGGCTTTTTTGACAGCTGCAGCACACTGTTGTCTCATACGTAAGTGATGGTACATTAGGACACCTAGATAGCATGTTTCCACAAAAATACGACCTATGGCTAAAATATCGGCATATCTTAAAGACCACTCAAATGAGAGATATAAACGAGACTGGAAAA